TGAGCCACAACCCCAGTCCCTTGATCTTTATTTATTTTTTTTTGTGAGTTAGTAATTTTTTTTTAAAGAGAGAGAGAGAGAATTTTAATATTTATTTTTTAGTTCTTGGCAGACACAACATCTTTGTTTGTATGTGGTGCTGAGGATCGAACCCGGGCTGCACGTATGCCAGGCGAGCGCGCTACTGCTTGAGCCACATCCCCAGCCCCAATCTTTATTTTTTATTTGTATGTGGTGCTGAGAATTGAACTCAGTGCCTCGCACATGCTAGGTGAGCGCTCTGCCACTGAGCCACAACCCCAGCCCATTATTTTATTTTTATATGTTGTTGAGGATCCAATCCAGGGTCTCACACCTGTGAGGCAAGTGCTCTACAACTGATCTACAGCCCCAGCCCGGGATCCTGGCATCTTTGTTCTTTAAAATGTTCATTTATGGGCTGAGGTGGTGGCTCAGTGGTAGAGCGTTCGCCTGTGCGGGTGAGGCCCTGGGTTCCAGTCTCAGCACCACATAAAGATAAATAAAAATAATAGCATATTAAATAAAATTTTTTTTAAAGTTCATTTGTGGGCTGGGATTGTGCTCAGGGTAGAACACTTGCCTAGCACATGGGAGGCCCTGGGTTCCATCCTCAGCACCACATAAAAGGTAAATGAAGGGCTGGGGATGTGGCTCAAGTGGTAGCGCGCTCGCCCGGCATGCGTGCGGCCCGGGTTCGATCCTCAGCACCACATAAAATCAAAGATGTTGTGTCCGCCAAAAAAACTAAAAAATAAATATTAAAATTATAAAAAAAAAGTAAATGAATAAAATAAAGCTATGAAAATAAAATCACCTCATTTAAAAAAATGTTCATTTATGCCAGTTTTTTTTTTAAATCACCAGAATATCAGCCTGATAAATTTAGTGCAAATGTTTTCCACTACTTTGGTATTTGTTCTTTGTTTTTTCTTTAAGTTGCAGACAGATAATACCTTTGTTTTGTTAATTTATGTGCAGTGATGAGAATCCAACCCAGTGCCTCCCATGTGCTAGGCAATTGCTCTAACACTGAGCCACAACAGAGTCCTTGCTGGTCTTTTTCATGGACACATCCTGATTATGTTGAGACCTGAACTCTCTTCTGTGACTGTGGTCTCCAAAGCTCATGCCCCACTAGGACCAAGTCCATTCCACCCCTCACACTTTTTAAAGCAGAGCCCTAGTCCTGAAACTGCCTCCTAAGACTCGGGCTCCCACTGGAGAGCCCTCCATCCTCTCCTTCCCTTCATGCTGCTGTTAAGCTGGCCACCCTCTCTGGGGGCTGCTCTCTCCCCACCTAGGCCCCTGGCCTGGAAGTGAAGCATCAGCTTCCCTATTCTTCACTGGGATTGCAGGCTTTGTCCTTTCACTTCCCCAAGAGTTGTAGCTGGGACAGGAGTCATTGCTGCAGCAGCCACCCAGCACCAGCCTTGGTATTGGCATGTCCCCGTGGTGTGGTGGCTGTGGTGAAGTTCCTGCTGTTGTTGGTATTCTTATGGATGATTCTGCATCTCCTGCCCCTAACAGCCTTGACCTCTTCTTCCTGCTAATGACCTTCTCCTCTGTCCCAACTATATGCTCCCCCCCAGAAGCTGTGTCCTCATTTCAACACAATTTTCCATTCTCTGCCTATCACTTCCTCTCTGCCCAGCAGGATGGGTGAACACTCCAGGCTAGGTTGTTCAGTGATTCCTAGATGGAGCCCAGCTGGGGCAGAGAGGAATGGGACCACAGATCTGAGAGTGGGCACACCAGGGTCTCTTGTCTTGCTGGTGATGGGGGTGCTGAGAACAAGTAGTGGAACCCCTCTCTTAAGCCTGGACTTTCTGCTATGGGGGCTGGGTGGGGCTGGGTGTGCCTGTACAGGAGAGACAGAGGGTCATAGAATCAATGCTGCAACACTGAAGCAGGAAGAGATAAGAAGCTAGGCAGTGCTGCAAGATAGCCAGGACAGCAGGAAGAGGTCCCCATAGGAAGACCTGCAGGGACTGACTAGGAGACTAAGTGCTGGCAGAGCCTGGCACATCCATCCAGCTGGGGTCCCTGACTAGCTCCTCTTTGGCAACCAAGCCTCCCAAGACCCCAGCTCCAGTGGAAGAGACTCAGGGGATCCTTATGTTGGGGAGACTAAAAAGTAGTGTCATCTGCTGTCCTCTAACCTCTCCTGGTTGCACCTCGGGTCTGTGCCACCACCACAATCTCCAGATGCAGAGGGACTAGGTGACGATGGGAAAGGGATTTTTGCAGGGAGGAGAGGCAAAAAGACCCAAGTAATTACTGCGGGGCAGCATGTGCTCTCAGTACCCAGGTCTGGGAGGACTGATGGCCGAGGCCTGGGCCCAGCTGCCTCTCCCCGCTGGGCGCCCCGGGCGCGGGGGCGGGGTGGGGGCTCAGGGATCCACCCGAGTGCGATCAAGGCCCTCCAGAATGGTACCCTCGGGAACACCTGGTCGCAGGACACATGCGTTCACGCTCTGCCGTGTCGTTCATCAGGAGGGGGACCAAAGGGGCCGGGAGATGGACAAAGAGTCAGGGATGTGGACAGAAAAAGAGGATGTGGGTACCGAGATGTCGGATGGAGACAGTAGGGTGAGCGCGTAGTGCCACAGCAATGGCACCGAGAGATGAGGGAAGGGCGAAGGACCAAGGCGAAGGTGAGGTAGAGGAAGGGAAGAATGCGGTGACTGAAGGGACACAGTACCGGGACAGAACGACGGGGTGACTGGGTCAGTGGGATGGGGACAGGGAGGGAGTCGGAAGGACAGAGAGTTGGGGGTGGACACAAGGTCCAGGAGGATGCAAAGAGCTCCGGGTGAGAGGATCCGCCTGACACAACCCAGCAGCGCCCCGAGGGTCCGCCTGGTAATTAGGCCTCCTTCCAGATGGGCCCCCCCGTCCCGCAATCAAAATGCTAATTGGCCCCACGCCTCCTGCTGCGCCTCGGCCGGGAACCCCTGGGAGTGAGCCTGATAGAGCCGCACGGCCGAAGGGACCCTCACCCCGCCGCGGGCCTCGCCGGCTGCTGCTCAGCGATAAGGGGGCGGTCTCGCCCGTCCCCGCCTCTTGGGGACGCCTGCCATGCAAGATGAATGTCGGGCCAGCGCCGGGCCAGGCCTCTGGCAAAGAGCCGGCGGGAGGTCTCCACGCGTCCTGCGCAGGTTCGGTCGTTCCCGTGCACTCCAACCCGGCGTCAGGCAGCGCATGCGGGAAGCGGCGGGTCGCCTGCGCAGGGGGCGGGCGCTGAGCTCAGCACTTTCGGCGCGCTCCCGTGCGCGCCCCCGCCGCCCCGCACAAGGTCACTGCGCGCGGCGGCCGGCGCGTCTCCCCCAGGCAGCTCCCAGGAGCCGCCCCGCGACCTTGGTTTCCAACTAAAGCAGGCTGTGTGAAGCGCGTTTGGCGCAGGAAGACCCCAATGCCGGGCAGGAGCGCGAGAGGGGACAATGGCGACGCCGGGCCCTAATTGGGGACATATGTACCCGCGTGCAGCCATTGTGAGGCCGCGAGCCCCGCGCCCCGCCATTGGCCATTGGGCCTGACGTCATGTGGACTGCAAACTCCGGGCGGGCGGCCGCGGGAAGGGTTATCCGACTGTTTGCGGGGCCGTGGGGGGGAGGGGAAGCTGCAGCCGTGCGGAAGGGCGGAAACCACCAATAAAGACAAATTTAAAGCCGGGGCATGGCAGCCCCTCTCACTATGCACACCCCACTCGTTGAGACGCCGCAAAGCTCGACGTCTGCCTCACAGGAGTGAGGTGGGGGCGGGGAGGCCCCTTCAGCGGGCCTGGGGTCAGCCCGGGTGACCGAGTGGCAGGAGACACTGCGGCACTGGGCGCACGCCGCGCTTCCACACTGCGCTTTCGCTGCCTCAGCATTCGCTTCATGGTCTCCCGCCTCCCTTCCCCCGCACATCCCTCTCCTCAAGGCCGCAAGCAAGGCATCCTGGGCCGGCCTGGGGTTCACCGGCGTTCCCCTAAATGACCCCGAGTTCGGGATGCGTGGGTGTCGGGCGTATTCCCACTCTCGCCCATGGCCGATAGTGCCGCGGATCGCTGGGCCGCCATTCCCCCAGCTGCGCGGGGAACTCTCCGCACGCCTAGACGAGGCATCCCCAGGACCCTTCCCAGGAGACCCTGGCGGAGCCCGACCCAGCGCAGCCATTTCCGTTGGCCTCTTCCCCTCCCCCAGCTCCTGGCTTTAAAAGCCAGAGGCTGGGCTCGGCCACCGGCAGAGGCGGCTTCGGGCTCAGGAGGCCTGCCCGCGAGCTGTCCGAGCTCCGAGCCCCGCCCCCGGAGCCCGGGCCCTCCCTCCCTCGGCCCGCCCTCCCTGCGCACCCCTCCCCCCCAGGACCCCCGCCCCCCGCCCGCCGCCGCCGCCGCCGCCGCCGCCGCTCGCTCGGGCTGCAGAACAATAAAGCAAGCCTCCTAGAGACCCCCGCCGAGGACCCCCGCCCGGCGGCCGAGCCCCCCCCCGCGCCCCGGGCCCGCCCCTCTCCGCCCGCGCCGGCTGAGCGCACCCGGGCGCTGGCCGTGGTGCTGTCCTGGCTGGCGCTGGCCGAGGTGCTGAAGCTGCCGGCGCTCCTGCTGCCGCCGCCGCCAGCGCGTTCTCCCGGCCTGGTGCCGCCGACCCCCGGGGGCATGGGGGGCCGCTGACTGAGGCTCCGCCGCGGCGGCGGGGGGGGAGGGGAAGGGGGCCGCGGGGCCGGGCCAGCCCTGCACCCATTCGCAGCCTCCGGGCCCGGGACGGAGCCGCTCCCCCCCTCTCCGCCCCCCCCCAGCCTCCTCCCCCGCCTGTCCAGGGGCGGCACTGCGGGCTGGGAAGCCGGGACCAGAGGAGGGAAGGAAGGAAGGAAGGAAGAGGAGAGGAGAAAGGAAGGAAGGAAGGAGAAGACGAAGAAGAGGGGGGTCCGGAGGGGCCGAGGAAACGCAGGGCAGGAAGGAGGAGGAGAGAACCGCACTCGAAGGGCAGCATTCACAGGCCAGAGTGGGGACGGTGCTGACTCCGCTGCTCCTCGGATGGTGACCGGGCTCCGCTGCAGCTGCAGCCCCCTCGAGCCCCGGCTCCACAGGCCCGCAGCGCCGGAGCCCCGCAGGAATCATGCCCAGGTCCTTCCTGGTCAAGAAGGTCAAACTTGACACGTTCTCTTCAGCAGACCTCGACAGCTCCTACGGGCGCGCCCGAAGCGACCTCGGAGTGCGACTGCACGATAAAGGTATGAGCTGGGCTGAGGCTGGGGTGAGGGGCCCAGGGCTTTGCTGGAATGGATGGGTGGCCAGAGTGTGGGTGTGGAAAGGGAGGGTCGGGGAAATAGAGGAAGGAACCAGAGCGGGCAGGAGGCTGAGACTGAAGCTGGGACTGTGGAGGGGGTGGGGAAAGAGGATCCAAGAGCCAGGCCAGATCTCAGCCAAGGCTGGGCAGAGAGTGTGGATGCAGGAGAGAAGATGGGGAAGAGGTGTCAGGAACAAGAAGCATTGAAGGCACACACTGACCCACACACTGACACATGCAGAAACAAACAGCACACAGCACATGGACACCTGCTGACATTACAAGGACTCAGCCATACCAATACATGCAGACTCACACCCAGAAACCTGGACCCGCCTCACTACCCTCTTCTCTTCCTTGGTTGCTCCTCCAAGCTCCCTGCTAGTGCTAGCTGGATAATGCTGGGAGCTCCAGGGAGTAGGCATGGGGTCCAGCGGATGGCCCACCTGTCAAGGCCAAGGTACCAGCAGAGGCAGCAGCAGTATCTTCCCTGAAGTCAGGGTCAGGGAGGAAGATGTAGGAAAGGGAAGCCCAAGCTGCTGGAAGCAGGGAAGGCTCTTTGTGTAAGTGTGCCCAAGTTCAAGGACAACTGTTAGCATGCAGACAAGGGGACCTGAAGTGCCAGCAGCATGGGGTGGAAGAACAAATGTGACCTGCAGGAGCATGAGCCTGTGTGGGCCCATGTGACTGCGTGTGGCCATGTGACTATGTGCGCTTGTGTGTGACCCTGTGTGAGTGAGTGTGTGCCTGCCTGTGTGCCACTACATGGGACCATGTGACTCTGAGGCCGCTCTGTGCCATGTGACCCAAGAGTATGTCTGGGGTGGCTGTATAGGTAACCTTGCATGAATAGGTGGTGAGAGCCAGGGTCAGTGTCCCCCTTTGAGGGGACTGCAGGGCTGATGGTGGTTGGGATGCTGGGTATAATCCTGAAGGAGCCAGAGCCTGCATGATGAGGGGTGTGCGTTTGTGACTTTGAGGTTGTGAGATCCATCTTGTGCCTTGGGAACAACTGCAGTTACCGGCATGAATGATGCCATTCTCCTGCTAGTTCCTGTGAAGGTATCCCCCCACCCCGTGGATGTCCTGGCAGTCTCCTCACCACAGCTAGTTGGAGTTGGGTCAGGAAGGCCCCTGCAAGGAGTTACCAGTGTGGGGAGAAGAGGGCAATGTAGAACAGGGTAGGACCCAAGGGTGCAGGATGAGGGAAGGGAGTGCAGGTGGAAGAAAGTAGATGCAGGGAGATAGGTTCCAGCTGCAAGGGCATGGGTCAAGTCCAGTCAGAGAGTGGGAAATGAGATGGAACTGCTTATAAGAGCTAGAGGAACCGGGGAGGTAGACGTCTCTAGAACTGTTGGGAGACCTAGGGAGCCAGAGAGAGCCAGCATCAAGGCTGGGAATGGGTTCTGGGGGCTGGAAAAAGGGCCATCAGGGACGCCCGAGAGGCGGGACCGCCGGGGTCCCTGAGCTGGCAGTCCCGCTTTGTGCATGGCGGGTCTGCAGTGTGTTGCATAATCAGGAAAGCTGCTGAAGTGGGGAGAACCCGAGGGGGAGGGGAGTGGAGGGGAGAGGAGGAAGTAAGGGGAAGCGCCGCCCCTCCCCCCTGACCTTGAGGCTTGGGAGGAAGGGGGGCAGCCGCGCCCGAAGATGCGCCTCTCTCCTCCCCCAGCAAGGGCGGGGCGCTCTGGCGGCGGGGGCGGAGCCCAGCCCGGCGGTGTCTCACCCTCTCCTCTCCTCTCTTCCCCGCCCTGCCGTCTTCATCCTCTCGGCCCTGTGGTCCCCTGGCCCCTTGTCCTTTGTCCTTCTTGCTGTTCGTTTCCCTGTCTGACTCTGGTGTTTCTCCCGCCTGTGTCTGCTGTCTCCCGTAATCCACCTGGTGTGTCTTCCCCATTGCCCGGTTCCCCTACCTCTGTTTGTCTGTCTGCCTTGGTCTGCAGGATACCTCAGCGACTATGTGGGGCCCACGTCCGTCTACGATGGCGACGCTGAGGCGACGTTGCTCAAAGGGCCGTCCCCGGAGCCCATGTACGCTGCGGCTGTGCGGGGAGAGCTGGGTCCAGCGGCTTCAGGCTCGGCGCCGCCACCCACCCCGCGCCCAGAGCTGGCCACTGCGGCGGGCGGCTATATCAACGGCGACGCGGCGGTCAGCGAGGGTTACGCAGCTGACGCCTTCTTCATCACCGATGGGCGCTCGCGCCGTAAGGCCACCAATGCCAATGCTGCTGCTGCCCCCTCCACGGCCTCAGCGGCTGCCCCCGACAGCGACGCAGGAGGCGGGGGTGGGCCCAGTGCACGAGGCTCCGGCTCAGGGCCCGGGGGCCGGGGCGGCACGCGAGCGGGGGCGAGCTCCGAAGCTCGTGCGGGGCCGGGAGCCACTGGAGCTGGTGGTCGGCATGCGTGCGGCGAGTGCGGCAAAACATACGCCACGTCGTCGAACCTGAGCCGTCACAAGCAGACGCACCGCAGCCTGGACAGCCAGCTGGCGCGGCGTTGCCCAACGTGCGGCAAGGTGTACGTGTCCATGCCGGCCATGGCCATGCACCTGCTCACGCACGACCTGCGCCACAAGTGCGGTGTGTGCGGGAAGGCCTTCTCTCGGCCCTGGCTGCTGCAGGGCCACATGCGCTCTCACACAGGTGAGAAACCCTTTGGCTGTGCGCACTGCGGCAAGGCCTTCGCCGACCGCTCCAACCTGCGCGCACACATGCAGACGCATTCGGCCTTCAAGCACTTCCAGTGCAAGCGCTGCAAGAAAAGCTTCGCGCTCAAGTCCTATCTCAACAAGCACTATGAGTCGGCCTGCTTCAAGGGCGGCGCCAGTGGCGCCGGAGGCCCTTCAGCCCCCGCGCCACCGCAGCTCAGCCCAGTGCAGGCCTAGGGCTGCGGAGCTTCTGTCCGCCAGGTCGGCTCTCAGCAATACGAGCCCCCAGGGAAGTCTCCGCTGGCGTACTTGCTGAGGGGCTGGAGGGCGGGCCCCTCCTCACAGCAATAGGGGGAGGGAGCCGGCCCCACCCCGCCCCGCTCGCCAGGGGCCTTACCAGCCCCTTCAAGCAATAGGGTCCCGAGGGGAGACCCACCCTGAACCCCCTCCCCTCTCCTCCAGGGTGCCCCAGGCTTTCTCCCAGCAATAGGGTCGATCAGACCCAGAACCGAACCTCATCTCTTAGTTGGGTCTCTGTAGACCGAGGGTGGGGTGAGGTAGGGAGCGCCCTCCTCCCTCCTCTGCGCCCCTGGATCGAGTTGCAGAGACTCAGGTCTTCCCTATCCCTTCCCAAGCCTTCCAGGCTGGGCCTTTGGCCCAGACGTCCAGGGAGCCAGTCCCTCCCGGCAGCAGGCCGCGGGAAGAGCAGGAGAGGGGGCGGGCCGCAGAAGCATCCAGCCCTACAGGCTTCACCAAACTCCTGGGAGTCCTAGACGCATTGGGGATGGGGGAGGGAGGCTGATGGCGGCACTCCTCTCCCTCGGTTCTTTCTGGGGCCTCAGTCCGAGCCGCCCTCCTACCCTCCCTGCGTATCCTCTGCCAAATCCGAATTCTTCCAGCCCAGTATCCCGGGCTCTGTCCTCCATAACGAATAATAATGACGCATATCAACTCGCATGGACTTATCCGACCTACTCAGATCCCGTTCCCGCCCTGCCCCGGGGCCCCCTCCCTCGTACCCGGGCTTTCGGTGTTGGAGGACAGATTCCCGGTCCGGTCCGGCAGGCAGGCGTGCACTGCCCTCTACACACCTCTGTATTCGCTTTGCGGGTAAAGCCCCCGGGGGGAAGGGGTTGCGGACGCGTCGGGTTTCTTTCTTTCTGTATTTGTACGTTTTATTTATTAACGGATTGCACTCGGGTCAGGGAGGAGGCATCGAACCCCTAACTTTCCCGCCGACTCCCGGGACTTGGGATGTCCAGGATCACTTATTCCGCCTCTGAGCCGGGACCCTAGTTGGGCTCTGCCTCCTGGGAGCCGAGGACCCCGCCTCCCAGAGGCCGACCCCTCCTCCGAGGCCCTGGCCCCATCCCCACTCAGTTGCCAACTTTCGCCCGTCTATGCCAAAGCCTCGGCGGCGACCCTGTTCAAGGGCCCGCCCCATTGGCCGCCGCCTTTGTGACGTCACTGCATGCAGCCCCACCCCTCCTCCCAACCCTTCCCGGGGCTGCCCGCTCTCCCTCCCTCTTAGTTAGTCCGATGCCGACTATAGAGCAATAATGCGCACTGCATGCGAAGCTGCCGCAGCCTCTAGAGTTACTAAGAATCAGGTATTCCCCGCCCTACCCAACCCATAGGCCCCTAGATCAGGGATGCTGCGCGGGGCCGGCCGCGCAGACTTTCTTTTCCCCCTTCCCGCCCCGCCACGGCAGAGCCCGCTGGGCCGGCAACACAGTTCCGGGGGCGGGGGCGGGGTGGTTGCACCAAGGCCTCTCAGATATCAATCACTCACCGGCCATTTACTGGGCACCTACTATTTGCCAGGCCCGTTGCTGAGTCTGCCAGACACGGCCACCTTGGGGGAGGTGCTTGTCCGCGACAGGAGCCCAACCGGCTTGCGTGTCAAGGATACACGCAGATGCAAAGGGCAGGGACCCTGGGCCCAGATGGCCTCACTCCTCACCTCTGTTCGGTCCGTGCTGGTTACAGTGGGGCTCTGCTTTTGACTTGGGCCTTGAGTTCCCAGCTCAGGCGGGACAGAACCCAGCTTCACTAGGGTCGCCCACAGAAGCGCCCAACCTTTGATTCCCTGGCAAACGCGGCTCTGCCGTGTGCGGCCAAGGTGCAAGCTGGAGTATATGATACGAACAGCCTCATCCCCAGCACCAAGCGTGACTGCCCCACAGGGGCGGACCTGCCGGCCCAGCACAGCTGTGCTCCCATCCAAAACCCCCTACACCACCCCGGGTGGTGCCTGCATAGTTTCCCAGCCCAGGCCTGCCCGCCTGTGCCGCATGCACACGCACACACAGGCGCCCTGCCCCACCCCACTCCTGTCTACCTACCTAAGGAGAATGCCCGAGGGCCTTGAGCCCGCCAGGTTCTCCTGCTTCCCCCACACCCTGCCGCCGTGGAAAGCCATGGGCCCCCTCCTGCCCCCATAACTAAGCAGCACAATAACCGACTTAGCGAATTCAGGTAGAAGGAACGTTTAGGTAGCACCTATTTTGTACTGATTCTACAAGTAGGGCCCGAGGTGCGGGGCCCTCGGGTGGGGGCTGTGGCCGCCGGCCCGCCCCGCCCCCACCCCTGCCTGCGCCCCGCCGCCTTGTACATTTTCCCTGCCCTGAACAGGCTGGGATTTTTACTCGGGCCGCGCCCCTCTTCCGCCCCCGTTTGGGGCCGGGCCGGCCGGACAGACGGACGGACGGACAGACCTCCTTCCTAAGCACAATAGCACCAGCTCCCCGGAGCGCCGCACCTCCACAAGGAGAATAAATGCCACTCTTGATAGAATTTGTAGTGTTGGCTGATGTGATGTGTCCTCTCTGGGGAGCTGCTGGGGGTGTCTGGGAGCATCTCCCCCATGCTGAACGCGCAGCTCACGTAGCTGCTGGTCCAGGCCTTTCTTCTAGTGGAGAGGGCCTACTTGGCTGGCTGAGCCATAGGAACACCGTTCTGAAGGCAGAGCAGTTGGCACTTCCCTGTGGCAGGGGAATCTACACCAGGAACTGAGGGCACAGATGGGCTCTAGCCCAAGGTCAGGCTCAGCCTAGCCTGATCCAAACAGAATATGTACAGCAAGGGGTGCAGTTCTCTGCCTAAGATGTCTCCACTGTCTCTTATTTTCCTTATAGGGGCTTCTGCTGCTCCATAGGCCTGACCTGAAGGCAGCTTATCAATAGCTCCAGGTCCCTCTAAGATGCTATTGGAAAAAATGGAGATGGCAGAGATTCTGAAGTGTAGCTCTCCTTGTGGCCTGCTGTCCTCATGTTGACTACCAGACTCTGGGGTATGTTCCCATACCACTGGAGAATGCAGAAGGGGTGAAGGTGCTAGCAGGGAGAAGTGCCCCAGGGGCAGGGAGGCTTTCACAGCCACTCACAGACCTTGGGCTCTAGACAGGGAAAGCAGAGTTGAAAGGGGGTACAGGATTGTGCGGGGTGGAGAGCAGAAAGGCAAGGACCTAGGCAAGGCCTAGCAATGGCACCAGTAATCAGGTAGACAGTCATGAATTGAGTGGCTCAAAGACTTTGTGCACATGTGATCAAACTAGGTTAGCCCTAGACCAGGGTCAACACAGCTGTCCACATCCTGGCAAGGCCAGGGACCAGACCTGCCCAGTGGAGATATAGCTCTAGCAGGTAATAGCCTACGGCCTGATTCTTAGATGGGGCTATAGTAGGGGTGAGCATCCCCTTCTGGGGAGCTCCACCAGCAGTAACAATTGTAGGAAGGCATGCCTGGTACTGGGAGGGGTGAGTGGCCAGGGCCTCCAGCAGAGGGATCCTCACTATCACTGCCCCTGGGCTGGGTAGGCATAATTGTCCTGTTTGCAGATGAGGAACCTCAGGGAGGTGATAAAGAGCTTCTCTAAGGTTGAAGGATCCAGGGTTGCCTTTGACACAGCCCTGTCCAGTACTCCACATTCCCCTATACCTGGATCTACACCATGGCAGGGAGAAAGCTTCTAGCTGTCCACTCCTTTCTGATGGACTGATCCTACAAGTTCAGCGTCTTGATGTGCTGCTTCTGCTTCTTCAGGATTCTGAGGGTGATGGGGGTAGGAGAATGGAAGTGACCTCCCCAAGTCCTGGATGAGCCCATGTCCCCATTCTTCCCAGATGTCCATAGACACTGCTTTCCAACCCAGGAAATGGGTAGCACAGGCCTGAGAACACCACTGACACGTACTCCCCTCTCTACACACCTGGTTGGTTTCCTTGGTCTGCCCATGACCCTAAGGCACTGGGGTCAGCCTGAAACCATTTTTAAACCTTAAAACCCTCCTGGTTCTCTTATTCCACCAGGATTGCAAGGTTCACCATACAGCTTGGTCCCCCTTATTTGTTGCTACTCCAGGTAAAGAGAGCTGCACCATGATTTTCTTGCCAACCCTACCACACCACTGCACCAACCGACCTCACCTACTCTGACCTTTCTCCTCTTCCCTGCTGCCCTAGGCCACACCCTGACATGGATTTCAGTGTACTGGCACTGTCTGCCAGATAACCTATCTCTTCCTGCCTCAGACTTCCACCCAGCCCCGCCCCCCTACCCAGGTCCTGCCTCCTCACCACCATTCTACACATTTGGCAGGCCAAATCTTCCTCCCTGGTGGCTCTGACCCCTCCTCTGGTAGTCTCAGTCCCCGGGGCCACTTGCCAGCTAATAGCTTTGAGCCAGGACATGGCAGAAGGCATCCACTCCTCAGTGGCTGATGTACTGGGCCTCTCCTGGCTTACTGGCATGCTCAGCACTCAACCTTCTCCGCCCATCAGCATAGGCACAGGCCGGCACTCTTGTTATTTCTTAGTTCCAAATTGGAGGGTGGCAGAGCCAGAGCGCACTGGAGGCCAGGATGGGAGGATTCATGGGTTCATGGAGGCCTCCTGCTAACTACCTGAAAAGGGAGTGGGTAAGGAGTGGCAGAGCTCCCATGGCTCACTCCCGCGATCCAGGCTCCCAAGGGGTCACTTTCTTTCAGCCTCCTTTGGGGTCCATACTCACAAAGTCCCAGCCCAGCCTAGCTCAGCAGGCCACGGGGCAGTCGCTGGAAAGGGCTGGTTCTGACCCACCATGTCTGAGAGGCTTTTCGGCCATCAAGGCGGCCCTCTGCAGGCTACACGAAGACGCCTGCTAGGTAGTCCAGGTCTGCCTGACGCCTGGGCTGATTTCAAGCCAAGAAGGTCAGTGGCAATAAGAACACCGTCAAGGGGGACCGGCCCTCCATCCACGGTCGGAGGAGGTGGTGGAGCAGGGGTGAGCTCAGTGGGAAAGGTGTGCCCCGTTTGCTCCAGAAAGGCGCTTCTTGGCCCTGCCCTCCCTTGGGAAACGAGCATCTGTGCGTCCCGCTGCTAGAAGCTTTTCTGGGGAAGTCCCGGGGAAGTCCAGGATGCGATCACTGAGTGCCGGGTGCAGGACGCGTGTCTGCCCTAGAGGGCGCCCCGAGCAGCCGTGGTGGATGATTAGTTACTTCACTTAAGGATCGGGCGATGGGACATGCCCGTTGTGACTTGACCTGGGCATCTCCCCCTTGATGCTCAGACCTGGCCCTTGTGGGAAGTCCCCGTAAGTCCACTCTAAGCGGTCCCTGGGTGGCTATTAGAGGGCTCTCGGAGCACGACGGCATCAGCTTCCGTCGGGCGCGCATTCGGACACCGGCTGGGGCAGCGGGAAGGTAGCGCACAAGGCGTCTCCTAAATGACTGCACTCCAAACTGCTCGCCAGGCTACAGGATGACGAAACCCTGTGTTTACAGAAGCGGACCACGGGCCAGGCGAGAAGCCTGGGGAAGTGCGCGGCTGCCTTGGCTGGGCGCTGGCGCAGCCCTCTGGCCTCTCAGAAGCCACCAACTAAGGGAGTGGCGCTTCCTATGTTCTCGGTGGGGAACTGGGACCGTGGCTCCCAGCATGCCGCGCGTCCCGGCGACCGCAGCTCCCAGCGTGCCCCGCGCCGCGCGTCCCGGCGACCGCGGCTCCCAGCGTGCCCCGCGCCGCGCGCCGCCGCCTAGGCCCCGCCCTTGCCGGCTGTGGACTACAAATGGCCGCGCGCGGTGGCTGCCGGCCAGTCAGCGGCTTCGAAGAAGGGTAGCTGCGGGCTACGGCGGCCGGCAGGGGGCGGCAGCGGCCGTTGCCCAGGGTGCGGAGGCGGGGTCGGGGGCCTGGAGCACTGCGAGCCCGGCGGGCCACGACTGGTGCGGGCTGAGGCCATGGGCGACCGAGGCGGCACGGTCAGCTCCCGGCGCCGGAGGACCAGTTCGCGGCCCTCCGGCCAGGGTGGCGGCGGGCCGGTGGGAGCGGAAGAGGAGGTGCGGGACGGGGCTCCGGGCCCCGACGTGGGCGCTGGGGGCGACGCGCCGGCCCCGGCCGCCGCCTCGGACAAGGACGGAGACTCTAACGTGGGCAGCGGACACTGGGAGCTGAGGTAACGGAGCGCTTGACCCCTCGCCTATGACCCCAGGCCCCGGGACTCTCCCGGTCAGAGTGGCCAGAGCAGTGAGTCCGGAGACGTGTCCCTCTTGGGCACCGCGGGTGCACTGAGACTTTCGGGGGAGGGTCACCTGCCAAGGTCACCCAGGTCAGGGCCAGGAGCTGGCCTTCCTGGCCAGACAGAGGGGAGCGGAGGAACAGCCCCTTTTCCAAAACACTTGGGCTTGTGCACAGTCAACTGGGTCCAAAGGCCCTTTATGAGGGGCCAGCTGGCGGCCTGGTCCCCTCCTGGGTTGGTCCACTTCCTTCTCTCGAAGGGTGCATGTGATGGGGGGCCTTGTGGTGAAGGGGTTCTTTTGAGGGCTGTGAGGGATAGGTGCCAGTAGGGAAGGCTCCCCAAAGAGGATTGGTCTGCCAGGGAGGGTCTGGCTGGAGGCTTGTCTGAAGACAAGGGAATGGGTGTTCCCAGGCAGGAGTGAGTGCAGGAGACCTTCTTATTGTTGCAGACCTTCCTGAGAGTGGTGGCCTGGCCCATCATCCCTCACCCAGTGGTTAGGGACCTGTTTACGGTACCAGAATGAGTGCTGCTATGCAGAGTTGGGTCTTGTGTGAGGACTTTCATCCCCTGGTTGTAGTACAGGAGAGGGGTTTGATGTGGACACACCTACCAGTGGGGCCCTGCTTAGCTGAAAGAAGGACAGGAAGGGGTGGAGGACTTGGCCTGCCTGGGCCTGGGTCTTCCCCAAATCTCCCTTTCTTGTCACGATTCTGAGATTCTCAGGGACTCTGGCATAGGGGGCAGCTAAGGGGCTAGGAGGAAGGGCTGATTGGCAAGAATTTGCTTTCTCAGTAAACAAGAACTGAGGCTTTCTTTACCTAGCACTCTAGGGAGGGGGCTGAGGGAGGGCAGCTGGGGTACAGGCCCTGTCACTCTCCTTGGTGGTGCTCACAGTTCACCTGGGAGATAAGATAACCTCAGTGTGAGGCAGACATGGCACACTGTGAACAAAGGTCGGATGAGGAGGCCATGAAGATACCATGGGGGAGGAGGCTGGCCCTCTTAAGAGGGGCACTGGCTTCTTGGCGCCTGGGAATGTACTGAGGGAGGCTGGTCCAGTACCTCCTGCCTGAGTAGGAGTTGAGGGCCCTATTCAGGCTCTATTCTCTGTTAAATGCCCCAAGTTGCCCTCCAGAAGGCTGGGTGATGGCTTGTATGATTTCCAGAGGGGTTGGGAATTGGGGTTATTTTGTGTGAGATTGATAGGGAGGTCCCTACTGGGCCAAGCTACAACCTAGGGTTAGGCAGGGGAGAGCAGTCACATATCTTCTTTGCACTGGCCAGTGAGCCTTTTCTGTGTCCCTGCTGTATGAAGCCAGTGGGAGAGGAGGAGGGTCTCCCTGGGAAGAGGAATAGTAGATGGCAGCAATAGGGCCATCCAGGGCTGGAAAGTGAGCTAGCTGATTATCCATTTGTGGGTCTTCAGGACAAGTAGGCTCTGTATGCTTATCTCTCCACCCTGGGGAGGCAGCAGGGCTTGAGGATTGCTGGTTGGGGTGCTAGACTCCATTCTCCTTGCTGTCAGGCCAGTCCTTGCTCTGGCTATGTTCCCTGAACTTGGCCTGTAGCTCACCCCTTTGTCACCCTTTTCTCACCAGTTTTGTTTCCTACTTTTGGCCTAGCCCAGCCTTCCTCTCCCCCTTCCTTCTGACTCCTTGAGCTCTGGCCTCTTCCCCTCCCCAACACTTCCTGCTCACCTGGGACTGGGCAGGCAAGCTAGGCTCTGGGTGTGAGCTCATTTCTTCTGCCCTGTGGCAAGGTGAGGCTGTGAGGCAGGAAGGGGAGGTACTCCTTACTCTGCCTCCTGTTTACCCTTCCAGGCTCTGCAGACTCCCACTGGTCCTTAGTTCACAGGCACCCTAGGCATGATCTTGTGGTTTTGAGGTTCTCCTAGGTGTTTGTCCCTGGGTGTCCTACCTACCTCTCCAGCAGAGTGTGAGAGGCATGGGGAGCCTGTCCCAACCATCTGGTACTCCAGAGGTTGTTGTAGAGGAAGTGCTGAAGAGGTGGCAGCTGGGAGGGGAGCCAGCTCTCTGCTCCCCTCTTTGCTCTGCTTGGCCTTGGAGCTTGACTTTGTGGTCCAAGAGGTCCACACTTAAAAGCTGTCTTTGGGCATGGTATAGACCTTGGCAAGTGCATCATGGGGATGCACAATGCCCATGTGATATTGAGTGTGGGGCAAGAAGGAGAGGGCACCCCTTCCTGCTCTGCCTGCAGTTCACCTGGGTGGGCTTGGGGCTGCAGGAGGGAGAGAGGGCTGTTACAGGTCCTCTTGGTCCCAGGGAGTGGGCGTAGGACAGTTGGAAGGTGCATGGCATGGGCAGGCTCTCTAGCAGGTGAAAGGAGGAAAAAAGTATCTTGGGCATGGCTGGACAGCACTCTCCTGCTTTGCAGCCTGCCCTCTAGCCCATTTGCTGCTGACTACACTGGCAAGCCTGGGCCTTTGTGGGCATTGGAGTAGGGGGGCTTCCTCCCCTGGGTCAGGGGCCTGCATCAGGGGATGGGGTCCCACCTGCAGTAGCTGGTGGACCTGAGGTATGGGTGTGTGCCATTGAGGAAGGCCTTGAAGCCCAACAAGAGGGATCCGAAGAAGCCCTTGTGTGGCTTTCTGGCATTGGCCTTGGAATGCAAAACCCTTTCCCTGCTACTGTCTTCATCTTGGTAATGGTCACAGATAAAGCAGCATACTCTTGGTGGCCCAAAGGGGGCAGAGGTCACACTGTTGTGAAACAGCCATGTGGTGTGAAGACAGCTCGACATTTGGTAGGTCGTAGTATAAGGAGGCTGGCCAGGCTTTGGGATAATTCTGGTGAAAGTGAATGGGCTCTAGCTTGCCAGAGAGGGGGGCAGTTGAGAGGTCCTCTCCAGTGGACAGGCCCAGAGAGGCTATCCTTCTTGCCTCATGGTATTGGGGCTCTGGGGAGGGCAGACATCTGAGTGAAGCCAGTTGGGGGGTGCCCAGGGGGAAACAGTTGGAAAAGCAGATACAGACTTTGGGTGAAGAAGGGCTCAGGTAGAGACCACAGTTTCACTGTATGGCTTAAGGTGGACCTAGTGGAGATACAGGAAGCCCAGGACTGAGTTTGGGAGAGAGTGTTGGATAATGGCAGGGGCTGAAGTTGGAGTGGAGCTGCCTTGTATTCCTGCCTGAGACAGGCAGTAGGAGAGGTGTTACCACCCTCCTGGTGTCCAGAGGCTGCCAGGGGTAGTGTGGATGGTACCAGGCTCTGAGCAGACACCTGGGGTGCAAAGGTTGAGTCTGTTGGCACTGCCCCTTAGCCTCCTTGGTCCCTCTCCTTCTAGGTGGGGCTGCCTTTGATCAGAACCAGACTTGCTTCTGGGGACTGAAGCAAGCCAACTCTGGGAGGGCATCCGTGTCATAGTGCTGGTCACGGGCTCCTCTACTTTCTCCCCCTGCTTACATGCCCTCAGAGGGAGATTGTATTGGGGGAGGGAAGGGGAGGCTCTGGCTTCTGCTCTTACAAAACTAAAGCCTTACTCAATGCCACATGGGGCTTCCTGGAGGCATAGCAGCTGGAGGGCAAGGCAGGGTCATAGTTGGTATGAGTGAGCCAGGGTACTGGTTCCTGGGGTGTGGGCTCTGGCCTTGCTCGTGTTTGTTGTTGCCAGGAGCTGGGTCTGGACCTTATCTCAGCCATATCACCTGGCCCCTTTGCCAGGCCTAGGTACTCCTCTTCACAGGCAGGGTCTTTTGGGAGTGTCTCCTACCCTAGCACTTGGTGGAAATGTTCCTGGTTTGAGGCCTGCTTCTGCCAGAAGCTTCTCTGCCATCAGGTCCTAGCCCCCTAGTGATCTCCTCTTGGCATTCCCAGCCTAGGCAGGAACATTGCATTTACCATAAGCACATGAGGTCTGAGTCACTGCCCCCAGAAAGGTGCACGTTAGACTGGGAGGCTGGGCTGGCCATAGGACTGGGTCATTGCCCACTCAGGCTTGGGAGTCTAAATGTGGGGAGGAGGCTCATCTGGGCTCTGGTGTCTGCAGACCCTTTAATTTATTGGGTGGGTAGAATGGGTGGACTGAGCAGGGTGGACTCCACCCCCACATCTTTTTTCCCAACAGTGCTGGGTGGGTCCACAGATCCCCAAGTTGTATTCTTCTGGTGGCCTGAGAGCCTGATTTCAGTCAGGACCCCCTGGGGAGCAAAGCCAGGCTCCTGACCCGGGGTGCTCAAGCCCCATATAAACTTGGTCAGCTCCTTCCTGTCTTTTATGAATCTTCTCTGCCTAGAGGAAAAGTCCTCTGCATGGTCCTGAGAGTTTTGCCTACTATAGGCCATATGGCTGCTGGTATAACCTTTTCTGGGTCCTCCCCTTGAAGAATGGGGTACGTGGGCAGAAGAGACAGTTGGCGGGGGATGGGTCACAACAGTGGGCCCATCTCTGCCCTCTGGCATCTGCTCACCAAGGGGCCTATTCCCTACCTTGTCAGGTGCCATCGCCTACAGGATTCTTTGTTCAGCTCTGACAGTGGCTTCAGCAACTACAGAGGCATCCTGAATTGGTGTGTGGTGATGCTGGTGAGTAGGATGGGGTATGGAAGCAGGCCCACCTGTGGCCAGGTGTGGTAAAGCTTTCCAGGTGGGCCTTTTTCTGAGCTCAGGCTGTGCCTCAGGCATGTGGGAGCTAGTGCTAATGTGGGCTGGGGTGCCTGGGGCATGTTGCAGCTGCCCCGAGAAGGCTGTTGCTCCATATGGCTTATAGCCCTGGATAGTGGGGGAAGCAAGGGTGTTCCCTGCAGTGGCCACACAGAGGTCCTGTTGGGTCCTAGGTTAGCCTGTGGAGGCCATGTGGTTAGTGGGGAGGCTGAGCAGTGCACTCTGGGCAGAAGGACTCTTCACTGAGAAAAGTGCCTCAGGAGTACAGATCCCCCTGGCTGTACTGGGGTGGCATGGGAAGGCAGAGAGAAGAAGGGGAGTGTTGAGTGGCGCCAGGGCTGAGAGGCTTTTGGGGACTGAGCATGGGGTGCTCTATGGGTACAAAGCTTTCCTGGAAAGGTGGAGAGGTCTTGCCAGTCCTATGCCAGTGGTGTCAAGGGCATGGCGTCTTCTCCTGGCCCCTCTCCCTTAGCCTTGGGTCCTGGTGAATGGAGAGTCCTTTGCCATATCCAAGGTCTGCTGTCTCTAAGACCTCATTCCACTACTTTGTGGGGTCAGGCCAACAGCCCCACCCCAGAGGCTCAAAAGGGCAGGCAGCCTGTAGGGCAGGTCCGGGCCAAGCTTCCATCACTCAGGGCTGATGTGGCCTGAGGCCTTCTGTTCTCATTCGGATGTGAACACCTCTAGTTTGGGTACAGCTCTTATGGTTGCCCAGGTGGAAGGGCTTTGTGTATACTATACCCTGCGGTGTCCTGAACTTCCAGCACTGTTAGCCTGGAGAGGGCCTTGGTCTCAGTCAGCTATAGGAGGCCACAAACTCTAGGGTGGGTGAGTAGCTGGTACCACATTGGGGATGTGGGTCCAAGGCCAACCTGATCCTCAGGAGATGAAATGTCCCACTTCTTTCCCAGGCTGGGTCTATAAGAGTTATCTCAGCCAGCCTGGGTAGTACTGTCCGTTCTCTTGCAACCCACTGGGCCTGCCTGGCTCTTGGGCACAATCCCACGGCCTTTCCCCTGCTCTGGGCCCTCCACCACCTCCTCCCTAAAGAAGGTCATGCATCTTGGGCTCCAGCTGCCTGCTGTGGCCTCTCAGGAGAGGTCACGCAATGCGGTTGATGAGGTGGGGTCACGTGTGTTGGGGCAGCAGGCTGGCTGCAGTTGGGGGAGGTGGCTCCTGTGTCCCTGAGCTTGTCATCTCTGTAAAGCCTTCCCTGACCACCCAGGCAAGGACCCCACCAGTGTTCCCTTGCCAATGTTGCTGTTCCATTTACACTGTGCAGGGCCTGTTCTCTGGGCAGATGGCCAGGTTGATGGCATCAGGGCCCACCTCCTTGGGTGCAGGTGGTTCTTGTAAGACAGATGAGCAGGGAGGACAAGTATCTAATCCCAGCTCTGGCCAGAGCTGGGAGCCTGTTTCAGTGGGGGCTCAGCCCTTGGAGACACCACTAGGGCTTAAGTATTTCAGGAAGAGCTGAGGCAGGGGAAGGGCTAAGTACCTCTACCCTGCTCCTCAATGCCTGCACTTGCCCCACAGGAACCAGCCTGGCTTGTGGGGTGGTGGGCAAGAATGGGCAGCTCTTCCTCTTCAGCCTGGGCTGCTAGTAGGTAGTGGTCCTTGGAGATTAGTTTTGGGCAGGTTCCCTGGGCAAGCAAGTGTGGGCTTTGAGACCATCATAGTAGTGACAGGCTGTGGGGTAAGCTGGGGCTTCCTCACCAGCTCAGCTAAGCTGGCAGTATGAGGGCTACTGAACATTGGGTCTCAGTCCATCACTCCAGGTGCTAACCAAGATGTGGGCATCTCCTAGATAGTGTTAGTGGGGTTGCTACTTCTCTTTGCCCCCACACTGATATGTGATAAGGTAGATGGTGAGTTTCAGAGCTTGGCGTGGAGAGCAGATGGAGCTGGGTCTATAAGAATGAGTCTGTTGCCTGCCTAGGGCCTCTGGCCCCAGAGGTGCTGTGGGGAGTTGGAAGGTGCTGGGTGGGTCGGGTGCCCTGGTGCCAGTACCACCATGCTGATCTATTGATTATCTACAGATCCTGAGCAATGCACGATTATTTTTAGAGAACCTCATCAAGTGAGTATTTTTTTCTAGGCCCCATATAACCTACCACCAGGCCAAGGCCCCACCCCCATTCAGACCTCCTTGCCCTACCCCCAGGTATGGCATCTTGGTGGACCCTATCCAGGTGGTGTCTCTGTTCTTGAAGGACCCCTACAGCTGGCCTGCCCCATGTCTGGTTATTGGTGAGCTGGGTTCTGAGGAGGGCCATGGGTGGGGGGACCAGGCTGACCTGTCCTGAACCTTCTCTATGGTATTTCTGTCCTCAGTGGCCAATGTCTTTGCTGTGGCTGCATTCCAGGTTGAGAAGCGCCTGGCCGTGGTAAGCAGTCCCTTGTGACCTGCCCCAGGTCAGCTCTCATCAACTGCACTTACAGGGTGAGGGCCCTGAATGACTGTTCTGCTCTTCACAGGGCACCCTGACGGAACAGGCAGGGTTGCTGCTGCATGTTGCCAACCTGGCCACCATCCTTTGCTTCCCAGCAGCAGTGGCCTTACTGGTTGAGTCCATCACTCCAGGTGTGCCCCCACCCATCCGTCCCAGCCCACACTGGGCTCAGCCTGTATGGCATGGATCCCCCATGGTGCATGGGGGCCATGGTTGAGCCTGCCTCTCCCACAGTGGGCTCTGTACTGGCTCTGGCAGCATACACCATCCTCTTCCTCAAGCTCTTCTCCTATCGGGACGTCAACCTGTGGTGCCGCCAGCATAGAGCCAGGGCTAAGAATGGTGAGGCTGGTGAATGAGAACTTGTCTGTGGGTGGGCCTGGGTGGCATGGGTCCACCCTGGTGTCCCATCTGTTTTGCTTGCAGTCTCTGCAGGGAAGAAGGCCAGTGGGGCCACTGCCCAGCGCACGGTGAGCTACCCGGACAACCTGACCTACCGCGGTGAGGACCTGTGGGGCCAGGTCCCAGGGGTGGGGGTCAGGGGCAGGGTCAAGTCTGTACTGGTTCCAGCTCCTCTCTTCCCTTCCAGATCTCTACTATTTTATTTTTGCTCCTACCCTGTGTTATGAACTCAATTTCCCTCGCTCCCCCCGAATTCGAAAACGCTTTCTGTTGCGGAGGCTCCTTGAGATGGTGAGGTTTAGGGCTGAGGGAGCCACTGGGGGTGGGAGGGATTTGTGGCTGGTGGTGCTAGGTTCTCAGCTGGCTGCTCTTTGGCTCTTCCCCCCAGCTGTTCTTCACCCAGCTCCAGGTGGGGCTGATCCAGCAGGTAAGTGGGTGAGAAGGTGGGTGGCAGGGGCCAGATGCAGCCGGATACTGATCTGGTGCCCTCCTTTGCAGTGGATGGTCCCCACCATCCAGAATTCCATGAAGCCCTTCAAGGTGAGCAGCTGGGCTCTCCTGTGGCTGGGGTAGGTTGGGTGGGGGCCACAGCCGCTGAGGCAGCCTGTCTCTTCAGGATATGGACTACTCTCGAATCATTGAGCGCCTCTTGAAGCTCGCTGTGAGTACTAGCAGTGGGCAGGGTGGGGGAGCACAAGTGGCAGGTGGGCATCTGGAACCTGGAGCCCCCTCCCTTACAGGTCCCAAATCACCTCATCTGGCTCATCTTCTTCTACTGGCTCTTCCACTCCTGCCTGAATGCTGTGGCGGAACTCATGCAGTTTGGAGACCGGGAGTTCTACCGGGATTGGTGGTGGGTGGCCTTGAGGGTGGCCCTGGGGACTGGGGTGGGCTGCAGCATGCCTTGCTCACCCCATTGTCTCTCAACAGGAACTCTGAGTCTGTCACCTACTTCTGGCAGAACTGGAACATCCCCGTGCACAAGTGGTGCAGCAGGTGCGTGGGTGCTGTGTGTGCATGTGTAGGATGTAGGTGTGCACCTGGGCCTCTCCCTGTCCTAGGGCATCATCCTGTAGCCTCCTTCCCTTGCAGGCACTTCTACAAGCCCATGCTACGCCGGGGTAGCAGTAGGTGGGTGGCCAGGACAGGGGTGTTCCTGGCCTCCGCCTTCTTCCACGAGGTCAGTGCTGTGAGGGCATCCTGCCTCACCTCTGGGCAGGGGTGTAGCCACTGAGACATTGATGGCCTGTTCTCTCCTCACCCTAGTACCTCGTAAGCATCCCCCTGCGAATGTTCCGCCTCTGGGCGTTCACAGCCATGATGGCTCAGGTGAGCAACACCCCAAATGCCTCACCCACCTGAACCCTGTGCCAAGCCCCATTCCCTGTGGTTACTGCCTGCTGACCTTGGTCCTATGTGTCCTCAGATCCCATTGGCCTGGATTGTGGGCCGCTTCTTCCAGGGCAACTATGGAAATGCAGCTGTGTGGCTGACACTCATCATTGGGCAACCAGTGGCGGTGCTCATGTATGTCCATGACTACTACGTGCTCAACTATGAGGCTCCCACAGCAGGGGCCTGAACTGCCCAGGCTTGACTGCCCACATCCAGGACAGACAGCCCTCCCTGCCTGTCCAAACCTGAGGGAACCTGGCTGCTGAGCCTTCCTCCTGCCCCAGGAGGCCTCTCTGCCCCTATGGGGCTCCCTCCTGCTCCCCTTAGGGATGGCAACAGTAGAGTCTGGCCCAGCTGGCAGGAGCCAGTGCCTTCTTTGGGAGTCTGTGCTGACTTGGGGAAGAGGGTGCCAATAAAGTGCTATCTAGAGTGACTCTCCCCTCAGCCTCCTGGGGGCTACTGGGAGGGATGGTCCAGCACCAATTCTGTGGGGGCAGGTACTCCAGGGGTTCAAGGCTTTGGTCCTTAGGCAACCAGATGAGGCTCTGGTGCTCTGGGGGGAGTGTCTGGGTCCTGATGTCCCACTGCATTCCAGCTGGCAATCTCCTTGGGTGCCTACAACCTCCTGGGGTGTTTGGGCAAGGCCACTCAGCTGTATCAGGATAGGAGACAGCAACCCAGTTTCAGCTTAAGGTAGTGAGGTCCAGGGGTAACCAGGCAGATCCACTGCTTAGGAAAGGGCACACTTCCTAACCCAGCCCTACCAAGCTGATCTTTCCATAGGCCCCAGTGGACAACTAGCTTGCTTGGTTAATCAGAGCTCATCATGCCCAGCCACAGCCTGGGAAGAAGGTGCTCAGAACTTTCTGGGAATGGGGCTTAGTCTGGGACAGGTCAGAGACCAGGGAGAAAACGGTCTGCAAGTCCTTCTTACTTGGGTCTGGTGCCAGGTCTGCCATCTTGTTATTGCCTTCAGTAGGAACTGAGTTAAGATACCCAGAAATGGGGTCTCCTCTGCCCCCGAAAGCATACTTTCCATGGGAGGACTGAGCCTAGGGCACCCTGGCATAGAGGGCCAGCTGAAGACTGGCAGCCTCTGAGCATCCCCACTCTTCCCACCTCACCAGGACAGGACAGCTCAGCAAGGTGGAGTCTGGGATGCACTGCAGATGGGCCTAGCCTGACTTCCTCCCATCCCCATAGCCCACTTCATGACACTCTGGGCATCAGGAGCTGGTCTTGTGACCCTCAGAGGGATGCCTTGTCCCTAGACCCTGTTACATAGCGAAGTGGTGCAGAGGCCACTTCAGTGGCACACAGAGCTGGGGGTCATCCCAGAGCCTGTCTTATCATGGAAGGGAGGCCTTGTGTCAGTTAAAAACTATAGGCCACAGCCCTCAGACCTTCGAGCCATGGTGCCCAACAAGGTGGTTGCTTGAGAGGTACCTGTGTGCTGAGAAGGGCAGGGGCAGTCCAAGCCTGTGCTGTCCCTTCTGCATTAGCAAACTGCTGGTTATCTGGGGGCTGCTCTGTCCTGGCTGGTTCCTCTCCCAGTGGAAGCCTACAGACAGCATCTCTGTGGCCTCCCCAGGACAGTGACTAGTGGGTGAAAACCTGGGGGAGGGCGTTGGAGCTCTCTGAACTCTCACGGTATGGGCTCCTGTACTCCCCCCAGCCCCTCAGTCAGCAGGTCCTGACGTAGGAGATCGGACATGGCCCACAGCCACTTGTGAGCTTGCCTTCCCTCTTCTGCCCACACCCATGGAAACTACTGAACCAGCAGGAGCGTGCCAGGCCTGCCCTCAAATCAGTCCAGTGCCTTGTGGACAGAAGGGGTCAGCCTGACGCTGACAGGAGATATGTGGAGCATGGATACCTGTGCCCTGTCTCTGAAGGGACACCTTAGGAAGGGTTGTTTTGCTGACAATCAGGGCCAGACAGGCCCAGGTACTGCCACCACCTTTCAGATCTGCTCTGGGCCTCCCCTCCCCCATCCCCACCTCCCTAGAACCCCCAGGGCAGGAGGAAACACATAGGAAGCCAGAGCATAGAGCTTGTCGGTTTATACATCTCTGCCCGTCTTGTCTGTCCGTCTGTGTGTATATATTTCTCTGTGAAGGGGAAAGGGGGACCCTCATGTAAAAATCCAAAATACAGTTCTATGAACAACCTGCAGAATCCGTCCAAGCTGTGACTGTGAAGCCCCAAACAAGCCATGGGGATGCGGGGCTGGGCGAAGGCAGCAGGTGTGCAGGCCCAAGGGCCCTCCCTCTGCACTGGAGGCACTGTCCAGCCCTGAGCCCCTCTTCCCCCACTGGGGCTGTGGAGGCTGTGTGCCTGTCCTGCCTCCCCCAAACCTGTCCTAAGGGTGGAAGCAGGCCACAGGCCCTCCCAGTCCCTCTTGGCATCTCTAGGAGACAGTAGGGTCCTTGGCTTTGGGGGGCTCAGAGCCTGTCAGCAGGGAAATGGTGGGATCATCTGTGTAGTCGTCTCCCTCGGAGAAGTAGGAGCCCTCCCCCAGCTCAAAGAGCACAGGTAGTTCACTGCTCCCCGTGTCCACGGCGTCCGGGTCCAGCAGGAACAGAGGCTGTGCTGTGTACTGCACCAGCTGCTTCCCTGTGGGTGGGTGGGGGTCAGGGCCATATGGGTGGTGGGAGGATGGGGGGCAGGCACAGGGCTTGGCTTACCTGAGTCAGGGCCATTGTTTTCTGCCTCAAGAGGCCTGGGGGGCTCCTGGGGAGACAGGAGCTCCTGTATCTGTGGGGTGGAAGGGACATGGTGAGGACTGCTGCTGGTGCCCCCGCCCCCCACCCTGCCCGCCTACGCACGCTGGCCAGGCTGCTGTCAAGGTCAGGCAGGCTCATGTCGGGCATGGTCACGGAGGGGCTGAACAGCTGCAGGAGGGAGGGAGGGAAGTCAGGGCTGGCTCACAGAGAATGGGGTGGAGCAGGGAGAAGATAGGGCAGACTCACGTCCAGCAGGGCGCTGGTATCCACACTGAAGCCATGGCTGGTCAGCATGGTCTGCAGGTTGTCCAGGTTGGAATCCATGGCATCCAAATGGTCACTGAGCTCATTCCTGGCCCGGGGTGAGTGGGCAGGTGAACCAGAGCCCCAGACACACTCCTGTAGAGAAGGGCTCTCCCTTGGCTACACCCATTCCCTAGATGGGGCCCCTCGGCACCCCCAGCATGGGCTGGGGGGACAGTGTGTCTGTGTATATATACACACTCAACTGGAAGGTGCTGGAAGGGCAGTGGTGAGCTCTGTGCCCTCCATGACTACTGAGGGTAGGGTGCAGCTTGGCCCACAGGATACTGGTACAAGGCTGGAAGGCCTTGGGGGTGATCAAGGCTGGGGCAAGAAAGCACCAGGGGACGAGGGGTTCAGCTCTAGTGCAGTTTTTCAGGCTTAACAAGGTCTTGCCGCAGCACTTGGAAGAGTAAAGAAGGTAGACAGGCTATCCTCAGCATGACTGGGTCTGCACCTCCCCTGGTGCTGCTGGGTGTATCTGGGGGCCATGGGAAGGACAGCCAGGACGGCTCTACAGGTGCCATGGGCCCACCCCACCCCGAAAGTAAGCGCAGCACAGCAGCCTGGATCCTGCCTGCACTGGTGGCTGGGCCAGGTAGGGTTTTGTCCCAGTCACAGCCATTGGCCCATGCCTGGGAAGTCAGTGAGGATGCAGAGCCCGGGAAGCCCTCCCCTGGCACCCTTGACAAACAGGGTGAGTGCTGTGCACAGGGCAGGGTCTGCTTCATGGCTGCAGGAGGGGCCCGAGCTCTGACAGAGCCCTCCTCCCTCCCCAATGGGGGCCGCGCTAACCCTGGCTGGACTCGGCCATGCAGAAAGGAAGAGGAGGGGCAGGGGAAGAGGCGGGCGACCCCAGACATCTGTGGAGCGCGAGCCAAACTGCAAGATACAAAGACAAGAGCCCCCCCATTGCAGGTGGGGGCCAGAGGGTGGGCTCTGAGCCCACCATCCTCACTCACTCAGCCTCTGGACAGGGCCAAAGGGGTCAAAGCCAGGCCCGGCTCACCATCTCTTGCTGCTGGTCTGGGCAGCATGACAGGCAAGGGTCCTGTGGTTTGCAGGAGAGGGCGATGGCAGCCAAAAGGGTGGCCAGCGGGCAGGGGCCCCAGATTGTAGAGTGATCTGGCCAAATTCAACTCCCTCCCTGGCCCTAATCCTGTTTGCTTACTATTTGCAAATCCCATACCCCTGCAGGGCCTGGGGGTTCAGTACCCCACCCCTCGGGGCAGTCCCAGCACAGGCTCAGGCTGTGTGCTCAGGGGCAGCACTCACTTGTCCAGACAGGCTACGCTGAGGCACTTCTCGGGGGCTGAGCGGGGTGGGGACGAGGGGACGCGGCCTCCGGCATCAGTGGGGACTGTAGCTGAGGTGGGGGCAGGCTCGCTCTCCCGCAGGATGGAGTCGATGAGGGCAGTTGGGGACAAGGGGGTGTCCACAGAGGACGGGTGCCTGGGACTCGCCTCCTCCACTCGGGGCGTCCGAGGTGGACTGGGGGGCTCCTCCTTGACACGCACCAGGGGACTGCTGGACAGGGGCCTGGACATGTTGGGGGACACGTTAGCAGGAACCTCAGCGGGCACCACTCCCTCCCAACTCTACCCCGGGCTCATATGGGCTGGCCCAGTGAGGTGACAGGAGGGCTGGGAGGGGGGGTACACAGCCCCACCTCTCATCTATGCTCCTGCCTGGGGAGGCCAGAGGGCTGGCGGGAGCCAGCTCAGTGATGTCGGAGATTATGGGTCCAGAGCTGGTAACAACGTCTGGGGTATAGAGGCTGGAGCTGCTGTAGGCTGGGGATGGAGCCTGCAAACAGAGGTAGGGGCTGGGTCACGTGTAGGTTCTGCCTGTGGCCACCCTGGAGCACGCAGCAAGCACCCTGCACGACCTGTGGGGGCCGTCCTGCCCAACCTAGTGCTTACCGAGTATGGGCCTGGACCATGCACATGCTCCAGGGAGTACTGCCGGCCATACTTGGGCACCGAGTGTGCGGAGCTGCTGTCGCCCAACATCAGCGGGCTGTGGGGAAGGGGTGGGGGTTAGCTGCTCGCTAGGATGCAGCAGACGGAGCACAGGGAGGGCCCAGGGCCTGAGCAGAGGGTACAGGCACCCCCAGTGCCTCACATTTTTCTCTTCACCCCCAGGATCCGGTTGGACTGCACCAGCGAGATCAGGAACTGAATGAGCTGTAGGGCAGAGAGGATATAGTCACTCCAGCCCTGCTGTGGAGGGACCCACCACCGCCAGCCCTGCCCCACCTTGTTGACGACTTTCTGCTGCTGGGCATGCTTCTGCCGCAGGCTGGCCACCTCTCGCCACAGGGCTTCGTTCTCGCTGCAATACAGGCTGGGTCAGGCAGGCCTCACAGCAGTCTCAGCAGGGGTATTCTGTAGCCTCCCCTGCCCTAGGCAGGTCCAAGGGGGTGTGGGACAAGGGCCGGGGCCAGGCGAGGGCTTGCTGGCAACATTGCCCCCCTTCAACCTCTGGTGTGCTTCCCGGAGGACAAAGGTGGGGTTTGCAGGACACCCACTGATGATGCGGTGGGGTCGGGGTGGTGACTGGAAGGTTCTTTGAACTTGAATCCAACCCCAGTCATCTGCTCCCACCAAGGGATCAGGTTTCCGAAACACAGATTCCTCAGTTTGCTGAGTGACACCTGGAGGGTGCCCTGCACCTTGTAGGGGCTGAGGGCCCTGCACCAAGTGTGGAAGTGGCCTGGTGGGGATAGGGATGAGCTGCCAAAACATGGTTCCCCCACCCAGGTAGGTAAGCAAGATCTGGTGCATTCCTGATGCTCTGGTGGGCTAGCCCTGCAAAGCCCATATCTCCTGGACAAAGAAATGGCCCCTTGGCCATACTGTGAGAAAAGCCACATCCACTGGTCATAAAGTCAGTGGCTTCTGCTAGGCCTAATGTGGGGAGTGTGAACCCAGGGCCTCTTGTGCCATATGGGTAGAATTCCTGAGTCTCCAGGGACGCAGAGTGGAAAAGAGACCCGTGCCTCAGTTTCTTAAGTGCTAGGCTGCCTGCAAAGCCTCTAGAACCCTGGGTCCTCGTTGAGGAGGGGCCCCAGGTGGTCAGGTGTGTGCCAAACATACATAGGCAAAAATTCAAGAAAGATCCTACGCTGCTTCCTGCCCCAGGCCTGAGATGGTGGCAGTGGTGGGGATGTTGACATTGCGTTGAGTGACACTGTGGGCAACCAGGGGAGGGAGAGAAGCTGACCTAGCCTTGGGACTGTCCTGGTCAGTTTCCTGCTGCCCTGGCCCTCAGCGAGGGACCTGGAGGGCAGAGTCTGTGAACCCAGATCCTGTGCAGTGGAAGCTCATCTAGTCTGCGGCTTCAGGAACCAGGCAGAGGCCTATCTTTCCGGGGTGGAGGGAGTGGCCCAGCAGGATGCCTCCCCCAGAATATGGATACAGAATGCCCCAGAGCTTCTGCCACAGAAGTCACAGCTGGACGGTGGCTCTGCAGGAGGTCCTCCTTGTCCCATTCCCTAGCCCACAGCACACATCCACGCTCCACAGCCACCCCCTGGACACGCAGGACCTACTGCTTCATGGCCAGTAGCTTGGAGTCCATGCACTCTTGCTTCCCCTTCATCAGCTGCACATCTGTCAGTAGCTTGGTGACGCTATCCTGGCGGATCTTTATGTCTTCACTCTTTAGTGTGGATACCTGGGGGTGGACAAGAGGCTCTGGAGGTCCTGGAGTGGGGCTGGCTCTCATGCTGCAGCTGGGCCCCAAGGAGAGTGGGGAGGCCTGAGGCACAGTAGGAAGGGCCAACGGGGATGGTTAAGGGTGGGTCAGAGAGGGACAAGCAAGGAGGGACGACAAGGAGGGTTGTGTTTAGGGCCAGCCACTCACGCTGGTCACTTTCCTCTTGATGTTCTCCAGGAGCTGCTCCTGGCCACGCAGGAAGCATGGGTGCTGGAACTCAGTGTCATCCCTCTCAGGTTTAACCAGGCCTCCCTGCTCGATGTGGACCACCTTCCGGAAGCCGTCTGCACACACAGGGGTGGGAGAGCTCTTCCTGAGGGCCAAGTGAGGGAAGGCCCCTAGAGAAGGGCCATGCAGGGCTGTGGCCAGAGCCCATGCCCATGGCAGCTGGGTGTTCTTGTTATGAGGGAGACCCCATTCCCAACAGTTCCCCATCTGTGAGGGAGTATGGCTAGGGCCTCACAACCCTTTCCTCCCTGGAAACCCCAGATGCACACTCCTGAGGATCTTCCAACAAAGAGGTACTTTGCCCCAGTCCTCATGTGTAGTGGATTCCAGGCCCTGCCCCTGGCCAATCCAGAGCAATGTCTGGGGGTGAACATGCTGGGGTCTGCCTCCCACAGACTCCTGGAAGGGGGCACCCGCCCAGCCAGAGTGGGCACTCACACATGTTGAGCTGCCGCACGAAGCTGGCCATGTTGTTGTGCTTGAAGTACTTGGGTAGCACCTCCTTGGCGAACTGGCCTTGGTCAAACACATGGAAGCTGTTCCCACTCTGTCAGGAGACACAGCAGGCCACATGTAGCAGTGACAGGGATAGTGGTTTGACTCCCTTCCAGGTGTAGTGGGCAGTGCACACTCCCACCGTACGGGGCTGCTGGAAGGTAGAGTCTACCCCAGTACGCCCTGGCCTGCATTCAGAGATGGGGTTCCCTTGACCAGTGGTTCCTGCACGCCAAGTTCACATTCATGCAACATAATGTACTCTGGTCCCCTCTCTGCAAATGGCATGTAGCTATAATCAGCAAAAAATTCCTTAAGAACAGCTAAGAGCAGGGGCTGGGGATATATAGCTCAGTTGGTAGAGTGCTTGCCTCACTTGCACAAGACCCTGGGTTCAATCCCCAGCACCACAAACACACACACAAAACAAAACAACAAAACAAAACAACAACAAAACCGAACAGCTAGGAGCCCAACCGAGGCAGTCAAGGGCATGAGAAGCAAGCAGACCTTCCTTACTCTGGATGAAGGTACAGCTTGCTCAGAACAGTCTGATCCTCTGGCAGGGGAGACAAGGACTAGACTGTCACACACTGCGTGTACTGACCTTCCTCTCCCACTTCTTTCCTGAACTCAGCCCAGAACCCCTCAGGAAGGACTGATGGGGTAGCCATGGTGGCTCAGAGGAGGCATCAAATATGGTGGGGGTCACACAATGCGAAGGGGATGGCATTTTGTTGGTAGTACCTGACCCCCTGAATCAATCCCTTCAGGACGGTGGGAATAGGCTTCTCCCAGTCAGGGTCAGGAAAAAACTAAAAAGAGCCCCCTGGTGCTGGGTTGGCACTGGCACTACTTTCTTTCTTTTAAATGTGTTTTTAGATGTTGATGGACCTTTATTTTACTCATTTATTTATATGCGGTGCTGAGAATTGAACCCAGTGCCTCACGAGTGCTAGGTAAGTGCTCTACCACTGAGCCACAACCGCAGCTCCCTGGAGCTGCTTTCTAACACACAGAGGCATGAAAATAAGCATTAGCATCAACAGTAGCACGAGGGGAAGGGGTGGAGGAAGGGACACCAAAGCAGCAGAGCAAAAACTGGTAAGAAACGTGAAGTCAACTTCTCCAGGACTCTGAAAGGTAACCAAAGAATGGCTCATGCTGGAAGCAGTTTCTTCAGGAGGAACAACTGTGTCTTGCAAGAGCACTGAGCTCCATGGCTCTTAGCCTGCCCCGTTCTACTCCCTCTCCTGCAGCCTTGGACCAAGGGCTGCACCCACAGTGGGGAAGCAGGGGTGTGGGCGGGCCTGCAGCTGCTTTAAAGCCTATGAGGGCAGCTCCCTGGAAGACCCCACGTGCAGGGAGGGCTCTGACGAGGCTGGAAGCTCTCCCAGGGAGTGTTTCCCTTGGGAGTGTTTGTTGGAACACCCAGGGGTGACTTTTAAAGGATGTGGCTGCTCAAAGCACATATAATACTAGCTAACCAGACAACAGAAGGGAACGCTGAGCTGGGAATGGTGGCACACACTTGTAATCCCAGGAGGAGCACAAGTTCAGCCAGTTTCAGCAACTTAGGGAGACCCTGCCTGAAAATAAAAAGGGCTGAGCATGTGGCTCAATGGTTAAGTACTTCCGGGGAACCAAAATGTACAAACAAACCCCCAACCCCAACAGCGACAACAACAAAAGGAACAGCGGGTAAAGGAGGAATCATGAGGGACCCTGAGAAGGCCTGTGTGTCCCTAGGAATCTGGAAGCCATGTGTATGTGTAGAGCTAGAGCTATGCAGACACTCCATGGACCCTAGAGGCCCTAAGTGGTCACCTCTGGCTGACCTTGAGGTGAGGCATTAGCAGGAAGTGAAGGATGAAGTAGGGCTGCCCACTACTGTCTGGGCTGAAGGTGTGTCCTAACACACAGAGGCCCTGGGAGACTGGGAGACTTACTGGTTTTAGACCCAGAGGTTTTCGCTCTATCCCCTGACTAAACTAACTGAACAGAGACTGCAGTGGTCACCAAAAAAGAACACAGGCTTTACAGATTAGTTCAGGAAAATCACCAGGCCAAAAAATAGCAACAAATGCTGGGGAAAGGGAGAGTCTCACCCCAGAGTTGCTACACTTCATTAACTGAAAGTCTACTTTTCAGGTTGGGGCTGGGGCTCGGTGGCAGAGAACTTGCCTAGCATATGTGAGGCACTGGGTTGATCCTAAGCACCACATAAAAACAAATAAAGGCATTCTGTCCATTAAAAAAAAAAAGTCTACTTTTCAATAAAAAAATCATAAAACATACAAAGAAACAAGAAGTTATGGCCCATATATTCGAACAAGTAGTCAATACAAATTGCCTGAGGCTGGGTGTGGTGGTATAAGCCTATAATCTCAGTGGCTCAGGAGACTGAGGCAGGAGGATCCCAAGTTTAAAGCCAGCTTCAGCAACAGCAAGGTGCTACGCAACTCAGTGAGACCCCGTCTCCAAATAAAATACATAAAAGGGCTGGGAATGTGGCTCAGTGGTCAAGTGCCCTGAGTTCAATCTCTGGCAGCCCCCAACCCCTGGGAAAAAAAAAAAAAAACCCAAAAAACAAACTGCGTACAAAAAAATTTTTTTTTTCCCCAGCACTGGAAATTAAAGCAATGGGCTACACTCACTGAACCACTGAGCACCACATCCCCAGTCCCTTTGATTTTTCCTTTTGAGACATGGTCTCACTGGCCTCAAATTTGGGATCCTCCTGTCTCAGCCTCCCAAGTTGCTGGGATACAGGTGTGTACCACTGTGTCCAATGAGAAAAGGATTTTAAGTTAGCGATTTTAATTACTTTCAAAGAATACATCTGGAGAACTAAAGTAAGAGAACTATATCTCACCAATGGAGAATTTCAGTAAAGAAGTAAAAATGATAAAGAAGCATCAAGTTGAAATTCTATGGTTGAGAAGTAAACTCAGTTTAATAATTCACCAGAGGGACTCTGGTGAGATGTGAGTAGGGAGAAGCAGGAATTAACAAACCTGAAAACAAGTCAACTGAGATTACGGTGTGAAGAATAGAAAGAAGAATGAATACAAATGAACAGAATGGCAGAGACCTATGAGGCACCACTGAACCACAGTTGGGCTGCAGGTGAGGCTCAGAGGTAGAGCACATGCTTAGCACCAACCCCCAGCACAGGGGAAAAAAAGTATAACTTACACATAATGTGAGTCTCAAAAGAAGAGAGAAAGAGCAAAGAGACTGTACCTAAGGAAACACTGCCAGGATCTCCCTAAATTTGATGAAGAACATCCAAGAAGTTAACTGAATTACAAGTGGGATAAATAAAAAGGGATTCAACTGATACACTTCCATGAGGGAACTGCCAATCACAAAGACAGGAGGAGACGAAGACTTACCAGAGCTGAGAGCCAAAGGCAGTGGACACTAGTAAAGCTACCCTTTCAAAGTGAAGAGGAGATTCCTGATTCTTGGCCGGCAGTGTGAGGCACTTTGTGGAAGTCTCCCCAGTAAAACACTGGGGAGTCTCTAAAGGCGTCTAGTGAGTAAAGAGACATTTACTCCATGACACCTGCTACAACTTGGCGGGCAGTGAGCATGTGGGGAGAGCCACACCACCAGGATTTCTTTACCCCAGCACTCCAGGTTGAAGAGATCACATTCCTGCTTAGTGTGGCCAAGAGAGCAGTTGGCTCCTCCACCATGCCCCACAGATGGGGACCCCATTCCAAGTCCAGCAGTAAAGAAAATCAGTGGCTACTGCCCAGCCACAGTAGTAGTGGCTCTAAGTCTATGTTTGGCAGTGCAGGAGGAAAAGCTCTGCTGCCACCCACCGGGAAGCACACTCCCTGTCCAGGTGTGGGCAGGCCGGCCTCAGTGAGCCTCTGCAGGGAAGGGGAAGATGAGAAGAGCCTTCCAGGGCCAGAGCTAACCCAAGGCCAACCTGAAAACAGCCACAGTTCAACCAACAAACCCACCTGCCTTCTGCAGAGAGAAGGCCGTGCCCTCTCTGAGTTACTCCACGATGTACAGAGCAGCAGTTTTCAGGCTGTGCTTTAACCTTTCTCACTTCATTTTGTAAAGCAGTAGTTTGCTGTGAGCTACTCCATTTTGAGTTTAAGGGCTGAGATGCAATGAAGCCATACCTTGTTTGTACAAGTGAACCACCACCATCTGCCTGGCACAACCATAAGGCATGAACTGAAATAAGTTAATCATGCTAATGAAGAATGACCACCCATGAATTTACCAAATTAATCACAAGCATGTATGGGCGTATCAAACAAACATTGGAAAACCAGGCCCATGAGATTACTGAATATACTAGATCACCAAATAAAACAAACTCCTCACTTGAGACCCATAAAAGGGGAGGTACCCTGGGACTGGACACAGTGGCACCCTAACCCTGGTCATTGGTCACTAGCCTTGCCTAAGAAAATTGTCACAGCAAAGAACCTTCGGATCTGTTCTTAGGCTTTAGCAGTGTGTGTGGTTTCTTCTGCCTATGATGACCATGGAGTCCCACTCCAAGCTGACATGGTGAAACTGCTGGACCTCGGCCTAGAATAAGCTCCTGCACCCTAAACAAGCTCTTCAGCTGGTTCCTGATCTCCCCTGACCACCTGCAGGGACTCCGCCTTTGCTCTCACTTCAGTCTCCCTGACCCTGTGGCTGCCTTGACCCCTTCTTATGTGTGTCTCTGTGTGAAGTGTGATGTGCGACTTGAGTGCCACAGATACTGGCAATGAAGATTGGGATAAGAACCTGTGACTGCCTGGCTGATGACCACCAGGTGATCTGCCCCCGCTGAGTGGTGCAGCCTGTGACTTGACTGTCATTCAGCAAATCCTGACCTTGTGGAAAGACAGGAACGAGTGTGGTCTATGCTGATGACAGGGCCCCACTCAAGACACTACCAAATCAGAAACACCTCCAGAACAACAGCTGCCCAACCACCTCCCCCAGACCAGACCAAACCAAACCACCTCACCACTGGTCAGACTGAACTGCATTTGACTGCCCAACCATCTGTGCTCCAGGGCATTACAA